TATTCTATTCTATTCTATTCTATTCTATTCTATTCTATTCTATTCTATTCTATTCATTCCATAGAGTAGGAGTGTCAAACTGGTCGCCCGCGGTGCATGTGTCACATTGCAGGCGACGCCCACCCCAGCTCTACGAAGACATCACGTAACAGCAATGTGACATGGCGAGTTTGACACCCATGCAGTAGAGCTATTGTTCTGGGGATGAAATTAGCACAGACACCAGAATTACCTTATAGTTTCAGAGAAAAGGAGGGATATAAAGGCAATCAGTCAATTTATCTTCTTTTTACACATGAAGGAAAACAAAGAAAACTGGCAAAATGTAGAATGAAATAGAAGCCTGAGCAGTGATGGTCAAGGAAATATGAGCCCAGAGTAAAAAACCTGTTTTGTCTGAGTTTGCACAACCTCAGAATATGATAAATATGGTTTTGAATTCTGTGCCTGGCTATGTTGCTTCAAATTTTATTTGGGTTCACACAATGAAGGAATAATTCTGTAGAATGCAGTAGATGGTTTTCCCTTGGTAATCACAAATAAATATCACAATATTTTAAAAGCTAGGAAATCAGAAGAGCTATCCAAGCCCTATCAATTCCATTGCTATGTATTGCTTTGCATAATCTTCTACAGGTAATGCTTAGTGAACAATGGTTACTGGGCCTGAAATTTCCATCTCTAAAGCAAAGTGCAATGTCATGTGACCATATTGCTTAGCAACAGCAAATCCCAGCCATCCCCACTGTGCTGTTAAGCAATTACTGGGGTCATTAAGTGAGGACCCCCCAACCCTGCTGGCCTCCAAGAAACAAAGTCAGTGGGGAAGCTAGTAAGATGTTGTGAGTCCCTGGTGCAAGCAAGCTAATGAGTAGGCAAGTGGCTGTTGTAGCATAACATGAGTGCAGCTGGGCCAGAGATGAACTGCTGCCAGGGATGGGACGGTATGTAAGCAGCTACTATGGCATAGGTGGGCCAATGGTGGCTCCTTCTTCAAATGACCTCTTAGGTCAATGATGGCTAACCTTTTTGTAACCAAGTGCCCAAAGCACGCGCATGCACCCCCAAAATGCAACGCACATATGCATGCGCCATGCACCCTGCCCCATACACACACAACCCCACACACATGTGCCTCGCCCCCACGCATGTGCAGCAGAGATCAGCTGGCTGGCAGGAGGCACACGCATGCATGCATGGCAGAGGGGGCTCTGCGTGCCACTTCTAGCACGCGTGCTATAGGTTCGCCATCATGGTTTTAGGTGAATTGCGGTTTCTTCCCCACCCAAACAAAATGTGCGAGAAATATAACAGGAAAAAAAGGCAACATTTCCAGCAACGTACTAAAATAATTACAATCCCAGGAAGGACAATCAGTTTTTGCACAAGGGGCTCTTTGGAAGCAGTTAAGAAAATGGACTGAATATTCGTAGCATACCCATTTCGAATGGAATGGTAAGTCGGAGTATGATTACCTTTGCATATTACATGTTACGTTTAAGTCTTAGTTATCCAATAATCATAACAAATCAGCTCTCTGGAGTTGTGTACCCACACTTTTTGCATCATGCAAAATAAAAAAAGACTCTGGAACAAGCCAAGTTGGCTTGGATTACACGATATAGGAAGCTTGACTAAGTAAGTCATAGGCAGTTCACTTGCTATTCTCACTCATGATCACAGCCCAAAGGTAGAACATGGAATAATGCAGTCAGAAGGGACCTGGGAGATCTAGTGCCCAACCCCCTGGTCAAGACCTTATCCCATTCCAGATAAATGGCTGTCAGGTCTCTTGTTGAAAACCTCCAGTAAACTTCTGGAAGCAAGTTGTTCCACTGATTAATTGCTCTCAATGGGAAGAGCAAGAAATTCCTCTTTAGTTCTAGGTTGGAACTGTCTTTGATACTCTTCTACCCATTACTTCTTGTCCTGCCTTCATGTCCTTTGGAGAATAGGTCAAACCCCTCTTCTCCATGACAGCCACTCAAATACTACTAGACTGCTATCGTATCACCCCTAGTACTTCACTTTGTAACATTACACATACCTAATTCCTCAATCGTTCATCCTATGGTTTAAAAATTAGGAAAACCAACAACATAAAGGACCTTACCCTTTACAAGCTGCAGGGTTGAGAAATACTGTTGCTTTCCTTATCTGCATATTGGAAGGAATAATTTGGTTGCCCCATACCTAATAATAAATAGAAAGCAAGAGTTTACTGTTTAAGAATAATTAGTATTTTTCATTTGGATACCAAAAACAGTACCAAAAAGTTAAAAGACCATGATGTTTCTTTGTGTCATGTATGTGTGGGTATATGCATAATGCTTATCTTTTGAGAGCTGAATGCAACAAAATTTCATCTTAATATATTCTGATTAGGGTATATTTAAAGTGACAGTAAAGTTTCTATTCTATTCTAATCCATCCCATCCCATCCCATCCTATTGGCAAGCACAATGAAGTGAGGGATCTCATTGTACCAACTGGATTTGGGAGGGGAACCTTTTTTGAAAGTCAGGCCCTGCTACAGAGAATTCTACATCTAGAAATGTAACAAACTCATAGTGGGTACCTCTCTTTCTCCATTACCCCAAATCTAACTAGTGTTACTTAGATTCATCTCCAACTATCGGTGAAACTGACAGGAGAACAAAGGACAACTCTAAAGCACAACTATTTTTATAATAATAAAGGTGCAGATTTTTTTTCTTTAATAAAGGTTACTGCCAACAGTACTGAGTACCAATAGTCTAAGAAATATCAATTCCCGCTAATGCCTATGAAGAAATATCCTCCTCCATTATCATAAATACCTGGAAGCTATTCACCACTGATTTTATACTTTGCAGAATTTGAGGCATAATTAGGTGCAACGCCTAAGCTTTGCAAGAAAAAGAAAGCAGTATCTGTAGTATTTGAGCAACTGAATGCTGACATTCTTGTTGATAGGCTACTCACGTAGAACAGACCCCTTGGGAGAATCTCCAAGATCCTGCACAAGTGAGATAAGGAGGGGATTTTAATCTAATTTGATCATGTTAAATGGTATTACCTGGGCTTCTTGGCATGCAGCTCTCCTTAGCAGGTTATCACTATAACAGGGGAAGAGGAGAAAAGACAAAAAATGAATATTAAATAAGCTAAATTTAGAGAAGGGAGATATATGTATGCATTTTAAAAAAGATTTCTGCTTTGGCAGACATAAATATTAAGTCAAAACTTTTCAAAGGGGCTGCGGATCAGGAGTGCATACTATTTCCACAGTCATAATTTTAGATGACATTACATGTGTTATTAATTTCTTTAACTAGATATTTATTCAGAACAAGCATATGTGACCCTTGTACTAGTCTACATGATAGATTAATGTTTTAGCCACAGCACTGATCAAAGTAACTAAATTCTCCATTATGTAAATTAATAGTATGGATTTTTTTTTTTTAAAAAAAACCTTCTCCAGAAACTGCATAGCGGGCCAGAAAATTTGGCTTTTTTTACTCTGACACAATAGCTGATGATGGATTGCATCTAACCACTGTTCCTCTTCCCCCCCCCCATCTCCACCCCGCTTCCTGCACATATATACACACAAAACAGCACACTAGGCACCCTGAGTTTCAATTACTGAATTTCGGCATATGCTAACTCTCTCTACTTCTCCTAACATTTGCCAAAGAGATTCAAGAGATTAGCATACATTTGTTTTCATTAAGAAGTTTCATGCCTAAAATGGTGCGGAGGGAGGGCATACTCGGGGGGGGGTGGGGGGTGGGCAGTGAGCCAAATTTAAAGATTTAGTGTGTTCCACGCTTCAGCCAAAGCATCCCGATTTTGTAGAGGTTGATAAAATGGAATTTATTTTGTCTATCTTAAGGCATGTTTTCTCTACTTCCCCATTTGCAGATGCTGCAGTGATAATTAGACAGTAAATTTAATAAACAAACGAATGGAAATTTGCTTCTTTCTTTTTAAAAATATTTTTGTTATAATTTTATTGTGCTACAACAATAATTATTTTTCTATCCCCATGGTTTTGGATAGAAAAATAATTGGTGCAGCACAGAAAAATTAAGACATAGAAAATGGAAACACTGCAACATTATAACACAACTATGTTGTTAATGACATCATACAATTTCAAAATGAATCATATACAGGGATAAAATAAAGGAAAAATCTTTGACAATAGCAATAGCACTTAGACTTACATGCCGCTTCATAGTGCTTTACAGCCCTCTCTAAGCGGTTTACAGAGTTTTTACAAGATTACTCAAACGTGTTAACATAACTTTATCAGAAAAAAATAAAACAACAATCCAGTAACTCCAATTCGATATTGACATACAACACCTACCAAGCCTTGGTTGCTGTAAATCACCTCTATAATTTTAATCAATGCTTCCAAATAGCAATAGCACTTGGACTTATATACTGCTTCATGGTGCTTTACAGCCCTCTCTAAGTGGCTTACAGAGTCAGCATATTGCCCCCAAATAATCTGGGTCCTCATTTGATTTCACCAATCTTAACCTCCAAATGCTGCAGGGATTCCTTAAAATGATATGTAGTTGAAGTGAGATGACAATATCAAACGTTTAAGTGTGTTAGGGTGCTCCAATTTTAATACCCCTAGCTTGAAAAACTCTGAGTCTGAAGAAGGGTGAAAGCCAGGAGGTAGAAGTACAAATGGTTCCTGTGTATGTTTTGCAAAAATTTAAGTCAGGGACACATAGATCAAAAGGCTTTGCTCCCTTTAAAACAGTGGTCCCCAACTTTCATGCTTGGCTGTCCGGCTGGGGAGTGGGATGGGGCAGATGGGAACCAGGCCATGCGAGTAATCGACTGGCACACACATGTGCACACATACCAGTCCACCGCTCGTGCAAATTGAGCTGCAGGCATGTGCGTGCGCACTGGCCCGCCATTCATGTGGCCCGGTTCCAAATAGGTCATGGCCTGGTAAATGCTTCAAGCCAAGCAACCATGATTATATTAAAATTGAGTAGATGAATATATAGAGAAATAAGTTAAGATTGTCATAAAGGATGTAAATGATAATGGCATATAAAGAAAAAGTGATTACTGTTATATTGGTAAGGAAAATATATTAATTATAATAGTTAGCACAAGATATATGTATCCAGTCGACATACTGTTTAAATGAAAGATGGATTTGTTGTAAATATAAAAAATAAGAAACTTTAATTAAAAAAAGATGCCTTATATTGTTTGCAACTTACTTTGCATTTCCTCTCCCTAGTCCTGTGATGGTGAATCTATGGCATGCGTGCCATAGGTGGCACGCAGAGCCATTTGTGCCGGCACACAAGCTGCAGGCAAACTTACTTCACTGCCCATGTGTGTGCCTCAAAGCTGTTTTTCGGCAGGTTTGAGGCCTTTTTTCGCCTCCCGGAGGCTTGAGGAAGGTTTCTGCAGGCTTTGCAGGCCGAAAACTAGCCCTGTTTCGTCACCTCCTGTTTTTCCGAAAATACCGGAAGTGACGAAACGGGCCTAGTTTTCGGCCTGCAAAGCCTGCAGAAGCCTTTCGGAGGCTGAAAAAGGTCTCAAACCTGCCAAAAATCAGCTGTGAGGTGCAGTGCAGGTAAGGGGGTGGTGGGGAGTGGGGAGGATTGCGTAAGCATTGGTGGGGGCGTGGGGGGGCACATTGCCTTCTGGGTGCTGGCATGCAAGCGTGAGCGTGCAAGCATGCGCACAATTTTTGGCACAGAAGCCCAAAAAGGTTAGCCACCACTGCCCTAGTATATTCTTTGGCACCACTCAAAATTAGTTCAATCAAGCAACTTTTTATTAAAACCAAGTCACTTCCTGTCATAGTAACCTTTCCAGTGTAAGAACATTGATTTACAATAAAAAAACAATCAGGAGAAATTCAAAGTAAGCAACAAGAGAAACACTTAATGTGAAACCTTTAGTGAAAATAATGGGGCAAACAGAAACAAGCTTCCTTAGCAAGAGAATGTATCAAAAAATAAATTACTCCAATTACCCCTAATTGGAATATTTATCAAAGGATTCCTTAGAGGTTTTAGAATTCCTCAGTGTTTGGAGGAATATGTCCTCCATGTTCAGAAATAGGGACACGATATACTTTTGATTAATTGAAGGCGTTTTATCAAATACTATTTAAAATCCAGGCTCTAGAACAGAAATGGATTGGAAGGGTTAAAAGGTTAATGTACAGAAGGGAGGTGAACTCCTGCAGCAGACCAAAAAAAGAAAGCTTGGATCCTAAAAATAAAAACCTTACTTTCTCCAAACTAGAACTGTGGTCCCTTCCTGATGTGGAGGGGAAGAGAAGGCCTTTTCTTTGGGATTTGAATTTTTCTCCAGCCCAGCACACAAGTTCCCTTCCATGCACCATCCAGTATTTTCTTTGGCAGGTAACTCTTTTGCTGTGTCCACTTAACAAGCCATATAGCCACTTAACAACCACAACTGAGAGATCCAGGCTGTGGTCATTGAGCAAACTGGTCATAAGGGCATGTTTTTTAATGATTGCAATGATTTATGACTAAAATTCCAGACTCAATTGTAGTTCAAGTTCCCTACCTGTACCAAGGTAAGGAAATATAACAAGGAGAAAGAGGGAGGTTAGAATGGAGGAAACCCCCTCCCAACTGCTACTCTGATAGCAAAACATAAGAGGGAATATTTTTTCTTAACATGAATTTTAACCTTAAGAGCAGTGGTGGCACGATGGTTAGAATGCAGTATTGCATGTTAATTCTGCCAGCTGCCAGCAGTTCAATCTTCACCGGCTCAAGGTTGACTCAAGTCTTCCATTTATTTTATCCTACGGCATAATCAAGACTTCAATTAGGGTTGCTTTTTGATGGGGTGAAGGACAGTATACCTTATTTCATTTGCAAATTGGATTTCCCATTGTTTGACTTGGCTCTCATGGCTTTGGGAAACCTACTCATGACAGCTGTTCAGAAGAGACAGTATAGAATATAGATTAGCACTAGCAACAGCTTCTCAATCCCCTCCCTTATTAAAAAACAAAAAACAAAACAGTGAGCTATATAGTTATCTACCAGAACCTATAAGACTTTCTTATCAGTAAAGACAATGATGCGTAAAGGCCTTTGCAACATGCCTGCCTCTTGTTAAAATATTAAAACTATTTTAAAATGAGATGGTGAGACTGGTGTTCCTTGAGCACCATACTGCCTATTCCTGTATTATTGTATTAGGAATAATGCAATATTTAAGCTAAGTCCTGTGAGGACAAATTGAGGGAACAGGGCTTGTTTAGCCTGGGGATATTACAGTATGCTTCAAATGTCTGAAGTGATATCACATAGATAAAGCTTGTGATGTGTTCTCTATCATCCCAGAGCATAAGATACGGAAAAGCCATGGTGGCGCGGTGGTTAGAATGCAGATCTGCAAGCTGCTTCAGCTGACTGCTGGCAGCTCGCAGTTCGATTCTCACCAGCTCAAGGTTGACTCAGCTTTCCATCTGTCTGAGGTCGGTAAAATGAGGACCCAGATTGTTGGGGCAATATGCTGACTCTGCAAACCGCTTAAAGAGGGCTGTACAGCACTGTGTAGCGGTATATTTAAATCTAAGTGCTATTGCTAATTTAATGGTTTAAATTATTTGGAAGATGTACTGGAACATGTGGATGACCTTGGGGAATGAAGGGAAGAGATGCTGCCTAGGAAAAAATCAGAGAAGAGGGAGGAGAACCCAAGGGATTAATGGTCAGAGAAAGAAACTTAGAAAGGACCCATCCTAATTGATCAGTTAAAAGTGACAGTGCGAAATCTGTACCTTCAGATTTGCAAGATTGATGTCAAATCTTCCAGTTAAAACAAGACAGAAAACAAGATAAGCTAATTCTATTTTATAGTAAGGCTACATTAACAGAATCCTGCAAGTCTGAAGACACAAACCTACTTGATCAAGTAGGGTGGGTCCTTCCCAACTTTTTTTCTTTGATAGTTAAGCCTTTTGGGATTTCTCCATCTTGTCTAGTTGTTTCGTAGACAGTATCTCTTCTCCGTGTTTCCCAAGATCGTTCACATATTCCATGAGAGAAGGCATATTTGGGGTGGATGTTAAAAGAAATTGCCTAAGTGTAAAAGGAGTTCAGGCAACCAAGTAATGGAGGGCAGTGTTAAGAAGTTGGCCTTTAATGAATATTGGAAACCTCCGAAGTCCCTTCCAGCTCATTCTAAAGTCAATGGGATATACCTTTGTTTGAAAGGACTATGATCACATGTAAATATTTTAGTGGCAGATAATACACTGAATTACAGTACATGGTTCTAGAGATTCCCTTTAAATTAGTATAACTAAATAAATATCGCACCCTTCAAATTACAGGTAGTCCCAAACTTACAACCACAGTTCACCCCAAAATTTATGTTGCTAAGTGAAACATTTTATGACCTTTCTTGCCACAGTTATTAAGTGAATCCCTGAAGTTTTTAAGTTAAGAACAGAGTTATTAAGTGAATCTGGCTTCCCTATTGAGAAGATCACAAAAGGTGATCATGTGACCCTGGGACAACTGTAAGCATCATAAACATGAGTCAGAGGCCAAGCATCTGAATTTTGATCACGTGACTACAGGGACACAATGCAATAAGTATGAAAAATGGTCATAAATTGTTTTTTTCAATGCCATTGTGACTTCAGTCACGAAATGAACTGTTGTAAGTTGTAAGTTGAGGACTACCTATATTCATCATTTAATTCTGACCTTAAATAAAGCTAATTTATTATGTTTTAATCTAAAATGCATTTTCTTTCCTCATAATAATTTTCCCTCGATTCCTGAGGAAAAAATATGAATTTAGTTCATAAAACTTACCCAAAGATGTTTCTCTCGCAGATACATAAAATGGAAATTCAGTCTCTTGCTGACCCTATTGCTTAAACTATTCATAATTTTATACACGGATTCTGAGATTATATACACACAAACTCTCCAAAGTCTTTAAAATTCCCTGACCTGCTTTCTTATGATATTTAGAAAAGCTATCAAATCCAGTTAGCTTCATAAGGTGGAGTGAAAAAATTAGCTTGGAGGGTCATTCCTTCCTCATTCATCTACCCATTCCTCCGATTCAAAACATTCCTTGGTTATAACAAAGAGCAAAAACTAACTAGGTGACATTCTATAGATCTTTTGCCACTTTAGTTTGGCCTTGAGTGGTATTTTTAATTCAATCCAATCATTGAAAGCTTCCATAATAATTACCAATGTTTTCCATAAAGCCAGTTTCCTCCCCATGTAACCAGGCAGATCCCAACTGTAGTCTTCTTCCAATGATTTCTGAGGGTTTGAAGCATTGTGATCACCTTGGCCATTATTCTATAACATAGCGTGCAATTCCGAAACGAAAAAAGACCTTTGTGTGGTAAACTATAAAAAAGAAAGATAATATATTTGAAGTTAGTTAATCAATGTATAACTAGATAATATATTTGAAGTTAGTTAATCAATGTATAACCATGTAGCCTTTTCAGCAGATAGTATGCAGTGATCTGTGAATTCTGTTTGCAGGTATGACAGGTTGAGAACAATTCTAACCATTGTTTTCTAGGCCTTGACTTGGCTTCATCAGTTCTTGGCTTCCATTTCTTGTCAATTTTTTTTTACCATTGAAGTAGCTAGCAGGAATTTGTCCCTTGATTTGTAAGAGTGAATAATCTAGCAGGAATTTGTCCCTTGATTTGTAAGAGTGAATAATCTTCAATTTTAAGTGCTCAGACAACTGTTTACCAGACTCATGTTTGTTAAAAGTAGAAAGAACAATCACAACCTGAAAGAATAGAAGAGACAGAACTGAGCAGTAGAATTTTGTGGCTAACTAATCAGTCAATAATTTTTAGCTCTTATTCATAGCATCACTGGGGTGGGGTGGGGGGTAATGCTGAATCACTGGATTGGGGTTGAAACTTATACAAACTGCCAGGTTGATTGTTTTGTTATTTTAAATTTGTAAATCACAGTACCTACACACTAACCAGAAAACATGTTTTGCAAGCCACAGTGACTGGGCTTATTCATCAGAGAAAGCCAAAATTAAACAAATAACATTGTGTCTTAATGCAATGTTTAAACCCTGTAGAATGAAGCATGTGTTACCCAAAAGAAGTGAAGGGTCAATCTCATCATATTCACCAGCAGCCTCAGCAACTGACTCAAGTCTTTCTTACCCTCCTTCATTACTCAAAATCTGCTATATGGAGATGTGGCTGTTTTCATGCTCCAAAACAAGCATTTGAGTACGGCTAAATTACTTAATAATTAACCAGTAGAACAGCTTGGCTCCTGAAGTTGTGGGTGCACTGGAAGTTTTTTAAAGAGATTGGACCATCTTTTGTCCAGGATGGTATAAGAACTCCTCCTTGAGCAAGGAGTTGGACTAGAAGGCCTCAAATCTGCAGTGGTGGGATTCAATTTTTTTACTACCGGTTCTGTGGGTGTGGCTTGGTGGTCACGTGACTGGGTAGGCGTGGCCAACTTGATATCACTCATGTCAAGGGGCGCCTTGCCTGGCCTCTCCTCGCTTCAAAGAGATACAATTTTCCTCTCTATCTATTTACTAATACTGAACATCCAAAATACACTATTTAATCCTATGTATATATGCCATATGTGTACATACGTATTACATAGTATAGTATATGTATAGGCACACAAAAAGATACATTATGTTCTATATATACTGTGTATATGTACACACACACACAACCACACACAGAGCTCTTCTAAAACTATGCACGTTCAACCTCACTGCGTTTGGAAAAACACACCCATAGTCCACTTTCTGCCACACATTTAAGTATAACGTCTGTACATTATAACATTGCACACGCCTTCAGATTTACTTCCCTAGCCTGCACATGACCGTTAGACCCAGGAGATGTCATGGATTGTGTAAAATGTGGTGAAACTCACTTAACAATGCTGTTGTTTAGCAACCAAAATTTTGGGCTCAATTGTGGTCATAAGTGAAGGACTATCTGCCTTCCTCTGCATGGCAGCCTTGTCCTAGTAAACTCCTCTGCCAATTTTCCTCTCTGTTAAGAGGCACCAAAATAATCCAGATTCCAGATGATATAAGATCTCCTGCTGGAGCAGGGGGTTGGACTAGAACAGGGGTCTTCAAACTTGGCAAATTTAAGACTTGTGGACCTCAACTCCCAGAATTCCTGAGCTAACATGACTGGAGGAGGAATTCTGGGAGTTGAAGCCCACAAGTTTTAAAGCTGTCTCAGAGAAGGAATAGAGAGGGAATTTGTATCTCTTTGAAGCGAGGAGGCCAGGCAAGGCACCCCTGGACGTGAGTGATGACAAGTTGGCCACACCTACCCAGTCACATGACCACCAAGCCACACCCCTCTGTCACATGACCACCAAGCCATTCCCACCAAATAAGCCACACCCACAGAACCAGTAATAAAAAAAAATTGAATCCCACCACTGGTTATTCTGTATTCTGCATGTTCAATATTTAAAGGACAACATACTGGCAAGTGACTTGCCATTGCCTTCTTCCTAGGGCTGAGAGAATGACTGGGCCGAGATGGTCCAGATGGTCTTGTGCCAAAGGCAGGCCTAAAACACCACGTCTCCTGCTCCTAGCCTAGCTTGATGCCTTAACTGCTTCCAATTCTAACTTTTACTATTTCTTCTCCAAAGGTGCCTTTTCCAAGAGGCAACTGGACTTTGTTTTGCTTTTTTAAAGACGTTTCGCTTCTCATTCATCAGAGCTGAAGAAGCTTCTTGGATGAGAAGCGAAATGTCTTCCAAGAAAAAACAAAAAAAGTCTAGTTGCCTCTTGGAAAAAAAAAAGGCATCTTTGGTGGGACAACCATGACCTGGATGACTGAGCATCTCCACAGACATATATTGCATGTTCTTTTTTAAAAAAACACAAATCTTGGCTCACCAAGTGTTAACATAATCTATAGTGTTTGATCTTGAGATGGCCACATTCTCTAGGTGCTTCCTGAAATAGGCGCTGCATGGATACTAACTCTCAAATGGCTCGTCTGAGTTTTCAGTTTGTAGAAACCTGAGCTAGGCAAACCATTTTCCAATATGCAAGCTTCAGCTGCAGCGGGTTCGCCACCTTGACCGGCGCGGGCATCATGATTCAAGATTTTGGAATCTGGTAATCTTAGCCCACGAGGAGGTTCCGGGCGGAAGACGGCCACGCGCTGACCGGGTGATCCACAGCCAATCGGTGATGGCGAAGAACCCGCAGGACCCATTTCGAATCCTTTTTGTTGCCGGGGCGGCGATTCTTAAATAAAAGCCGGACGATGGCGGAGACCCCCTCCGCGCGGGGCTCACCTGAGACGAGGAGCCTCGCAGCATCACCTTCGGTCTCTCCCGATGCACGGCTAACCTCTCTCCACCTTCCAGCTTTTTAGGGGCGGGGCAAGGTGCCTCTGCCCGCTTGCGGCGGAGCTAGGAAGGGTCTCGCTTTTTTTGCCTTCCCGCTGGCGCCGCTGCCAGTTTCTGCTCTGCTTCTCTTTGCCCGTTTCCTGGTGCTGCGCTTAGTTTTGCTTCCCGGGAAACATTAAAGAGCGTCGTCTTGGTTCCGCGCGGCCCCAGGTTGGTTGTAGAAAGGGCGCAAGGAAGGAACGGAGCTGGGTCGCTGCTCCATATCTCCTCGGTTTTGTTGAGCACGACCCTTCTGGGAATGGCTGTAATTTTCGGAAGGGAAGAAGTAAATTAATAAGGTTCTTCCCTCCCTCCGGACTTTTTCCTATTTGTTTGTTTATTATCACATGTATAATAAACTGCCCATCCCATTATCTGCCTACTGTGGGTGGGTATATGTGGAGAGAGAGAGAGAGATCTGTTATCCAGCGTTTTGATTATATATACTTACATATAGCTGTTATCCAGCGTTTTCATTATTAAGCCGTTTTAATCTTTTCATCACCCCAAACGAGTGACTTATGTTCTGAGGCACAGATAAAAGAGCAAGTACATAAAGGGGTGTATGAGTTGTGTACCCCATAGTTCCTTCAAGAAAATGGGGTTTGTGTGTGTGTGTGTGTGTGTGTGTGTGTGTGTACATGTACATATATGCAGGTATACATATATGCAGGTCTTGGCGTGTTCAGGTCTTTTCCTGTGTAAGATTGAGAGTATCGCACAAGCACGAAGCCGAAAGCACCAGCCTGAGGATGGCGAGTGGGACCTTGTCGAAATGTCGCCAGGATACTCTCAATCTTACATGGGAAAAGACCCGAACACGCCAAGACCTGCATACCTGTACCCATGAAAATCTATGAAAACATGTATATACATATGTACACACACACACATACACATACATATACATGTACGTACACACACACACACACACACACACACACACACACATAAACATTTTGAATGCAATGTATTGTCAGGGCATATCATTTAAAGAAAATCAAAGAACAAAAAGGAATATTAACATATATACTAATAATAGTGTAACAGAATAGTTTTAACTAGATTTCTCCTTATTTATAATTCTGTTGGTTATATTGGCATATTTATAATTATAAGCCATCTTTATATTTAATTCATACATAGCAATAATCTTCATCTAATTTGAATTTTTGATGGATGCAGTCAACCTAGCATTTTGATAAAATGTCACGTTTGGTCATTTATTGTTCATAAAATGCTTATTCAAGATCTTTGCTCAAAGCTTTTGGGGTACCTTATAAAATTGTCACCGATTAAAAGCAAAAACTAGCACCAGGATATAATGGGATTCTATCCCACCATACTATGCAGCAGAAGGTAGTCCCAAATATGCCATAAATTAAGCCCACTCAAATTTTATAGAAGTAGAAGTCTGCCTTAAGTTCTAGTTTGAAATGGCATTGCCCAACATAACATTTGATATAGATTAGTGCATAAATCTTCTTTTTAGTGACCTTTTGCAGATGATGCAAAAAAATAATAATTCTAGACAGATACGCATACAATTCTTTCAGAACCTTTGTTTTGTCCATTTTCTAACATTTAATTAAATTCTATTGATGAAAGTGTGTTGCCCAGATTATTCAAATCTGGTTTATAGAAAATTCCACATATAAAGGGCATTATCCTTGGAAAGTTTTCTTTGGATAAAATGCAACATAGTGCAAAAACATAACCGGCAATTAACAACAGCTGACTTCCCAAAATAGTAGTATATCTCAGTTATTTGCAGCATATATTAGGGCTGATAGTCCATGCCAATCTAAAAATATTCTGAATAGTTTGCATTCCTGATACAGAATGTTAAAAGAAAACAATAGTCCATGAACCACTGTAATAATTGAACTCCTGATATCTGAGAATCTGGTACTATCGTATAAAAGTCCTCAACTAGGAAGGCCATCAACTCATACAGTTATACTTCAGCACTCTTTCGAAAAGCCATAGTTTGATGACTTTCTGAAAAACCAAAAGAGTGGGGACCAATTTAATTCTGGAGAAAATTAAGTTCCAAAGAACGGGAGGTCATGACTGAGAAAGTTTGTCTTGTAATCCCTGAAGATAACAGTCCCTAAAGAGATAGATCTTCTTAGATTTATTTATTTAATCTTTATGCTTCCCATTCCTATAAGGCAACTCAGGGCAGCGTACAGATTATAAAAAGAGAACTTGAAAACTAATTAAATATTAAAACTATGCAGATTAAAAATTTTAAACTATACAAATGGTTTTATTAAAAAAATAAAGTACCCTCCCTTTTAACAATTCTGCAGTCCCTATTTATCCGAGTTGGCATGGGGGGGGGGGGGCTGTATCCCAATGGTTTAATAGATGGCCAGAAACTACCAGAAGAAGGTTGTCTCCTAGATACCCAAATCCTAAAATATGAAGGGTTCTCTAGATGTGTTGTACCCATTCAAAAAAGAGAAGACCATCCAATCTTCAGCAGCTGGCACAATTGTTTTCTTAATACTCATCCAGGCTGGTGACTTAATACATTTATGCTGGAATCCCTTCTGAAGAAAATACTTTCCTTTCCTCCCACAGTCCCACCCCACCCCCAACCATTATTTTCCTGATTCTGAACATCTGGTTATCTTAGAGGCATACTTTACATGTTGCATTATTGATATGCACCAAATACCTCTTTTCTACTTCTTGGATTGTTTTGTTTCAGACATCCAGTGGAAGTTATTAGCAAAGCAGCATGGGACCAGACAAAAGAGAGAATTAATAAAATACCCCCTTTGGATTTTATGCTGCTGTTTTATTTAAAGGCCAAAAGGAATGACCCCACATTTGCTGATCTTTTGAAAATCCATTTTGGAAGTTGCTGAGAATAGCTACATTATCCTTTGACAGAAGTTTTAAATAGATGGAAAATAATTGTTAAAAATCTCCTTTCTGCTTCTGTCAGAAAGGCCCAATATCCAGGTGTTTTCCCTTGTGTTTTTTTCCTATTGATTTTATACATGTCTAGCTTTCCCCCTTGTGGGCTGGGAAAATTTCTCCCAAATGAAAATGTTTGCCTAATTTGAAAAGAAAAATAAAGTGGAAGAATTCAGCAAGGAAGATGTAGCTGCTTACAGAAGACTGGTTTCATTAATTCAGTATTTGCTGTGGTCAAGTACTCTGATCATTTATTTATTTATTGAAAACATTTATTTGGCTGTCCATCTCACACAATGATTCTGTGCAGCTTTCTGTATTAAAATTTCAGTGTAAGAATCAGAGGTGGTATTCAGCAGGTTCTGACCAGTGCTGGAAAACCAGTAGTGGAAATTTTGAATAGTCGGAGAACAGGCAAATACCACTGGAGATTGGACTGGAGATTTTACAGTATCCTTCCCCTGCCATGCCCACCAAGCCACGCCCACAGATCCAGTAGTAAAAAAAATAGAATTCCCACCACTGATAAGAACCCATAAACCACCCAACCCACCAGTGGTGGGATTCAATTTTTTTTACTACTGGTTCTGTGGGCATGGTTTGGTGGGCATGGCAGGGGATGGAGACTGTAAAATCTCCAGTCAGAGGTAGTATTTGCCAGTTCTCCGAACTACTCAAAATTTTCGGTACCTGTTTTCCAGAACTTGTCAGAACCTGCTTAATACCACCTCTGCACCCCATCCAAAAATATCACTATGTGATATTTCCTGAAATTCCCTGATAATGGGTTCCATCATGAGCCCAAAAGCTTGGAAGAATAAACCTTTCATTCCGGTGACAGACTCAGATTAGATCTTGCAACATTATGCCAGGACACATATATCTACTACCTTCATTCCTGAAGCTATTACCCTTGTTTCTATTCCCTCACCATTCTGACCTCATTAACATGTAGATCCATTATCCAATCAAATGAATTGCGATACTGATTAAATGCACACTGATTTGCATACATCTCTATGCAAATATAGATGTTACACACACACACACACACACACACACACACACACACTGTCTTTTGCCTCGAGTTCCATAATAAACCAGCTGGTAATAAATATATTCTATTTGGCACAGGTCTTTTTGAGGCATGGAAGAAATTCGTCCTCCTCCTCCTCTTCCCTTCTTCCTAATTTTAGACCATTTTGAGTATTATGTTGAAAATATTATAATGACACCCCAAAGCTAAAAATAGCTTTAAACATTTATATCTGTTTGTTCAGCAATTGACAGGGGGAAAAGAAAACCCTCTAAAATCAATGAGGGGAAAAATATTCAAAATAAAGATAGCAAAGCAACATTGTTATTCAAGCAGCAAAAGAATTATAATTTATAAAGATTAATTTGAAAAATATGGAAGTTTTTAAGACTCCAGTATTTCTTCCTCTTCTGCAAGAGAGAGGAAAAAGAGAAATGTGGTGAGTAGAGAAGCCGTATATGCACGGCCTTGGAACCATTGATTCAAATTTGCTAAATCAGCTAAAGCTTTGGTTGATTAATCTGCCAATTAAAAAGGGGATAGTTAGTCTTGCTTTTAAATGGAACAATTGGCTGCTTGGGTGAGAGATGAATTTCTTCTGACATTTTAGTTCATGGAGAAAAACCACAGCCTTTTGATTTGTGGAAGGCCACCCCACACCCACCTGCCAGCTAGGGAGGAGAAGAAATGCACCACAAGATGGCACTCCAGATCAGACTGTTATAGAGCTGAGGGCTATCTACACTGTCTTTCCAATTCTGCTCCTTGACTAGCCTCTTGAAACACTGTAAGCTGCTGCTATTCCGTTTGTTTATATGAAGAGAGAGGACTTCTTCTCCCCCTCTCTTCCCTAGAATAAACACATCTCTATCCATTCTTTCTGTTTTTCTTCCTCTGCGACTAGTGCAGGTTGTCAAATTTGCTTTATTGCCTTCCTTTTACCGTTGACTCAGCCTTCCACCCTTCCAAGGTTGGTAAAATGAGGACCCAGATTGTTGGGGGACAATATGATGACTCTGTAAATTGCTTAGAGACAGCTATCCAAGCACTGTGAAGCAGTATATAAGTCTAAGTGTTATTGCTATTTCTGCCATTTCTCATTCCA